TCTGTCCTGTGTTGTGTTCCACTGTGACAGGGCAGTCACTGAGTTCCAATGCAAAGTCCCATAATCACTTCACTCTCCCTCCCCAAAGCACCCAGATTCTCTCTCTGTTCAGTATGGTGCTGCTGGGGGATGAATGTCAGATGGTATAGGCTATGCAAGACTCTCTTTACTGCAATCTTCAGTGCCTCTTTTCTTGATATAATATTAAAACCAGGTACTGAGATTGCTCACCTGATTTTTCGTTCTTACGAAGGTGCTTTTTTGCATGGATAATTGTTTAATTTGGTGTTTATGTAGGGGAATGATTGATGAGAGATTCTATTCAGCCATCTTCCTCCACCCCACTCCCCATTTTAGCAATTTTGAAATATATAGTGGCTTATTATTAACTATGGACACCATGCAATGCAATAGATCACTGAAGCTTATTCCTCCAGTCTAACTACAACTTTGTACCGTTTGATCAATATTTTCTGTTTCCCCATCCCTCTGTCTCCCTACTTTCCTCCACTCACCACCTGTCTACTCTCTATTTCTGTGAGACTTTTAGTTACCACATGTAAGTGAGATTATACAGTATTTGTCCTTCTGTGCCTGGTCTGTTTCTCTTAGCATAATGTCCTACGGTTTCATTCATGTTTTACACATGACAGGATTTCATTCTTTTTAAAAGCTTTATAGTATTTTATTGTGTACCTTGTTGATGGGCACTTAGATTGTTTCCATATCTTGGCTATTGTGAATAATGCTGAAAAATAAAATGCTTAAGAATAAATCTAACCAAGGAAGTAAAATATCTGCACACTAAGAACAGTAAAACTTGGCCAGGCGCAGTGGCTCATACCTGCAATCCCAGCATTTCGGGAGGCTGAGGTGGGTGAATCACTTGAGGCCAGGAGCCTGAGACCAGCCTGGCCCACATGGCAAAACCACTTCTCTACTAAAAATACAAAAACTTAGCCATATGTGGTGGCGGACACCTGTAATCCCAGCTACTCAGGAGGCTGAGGCAGGAGAATCACTTGAACCTGGGAGGTGGACGTTGCAGTGAGCCGAGATTGCACTACTGCACTCCAGCCTGGACAACAGAATGAGTCTCTGTCTCAAAAAAAAAAAAAAATGCTGGGTGCAGTGGCTCACACCTGTAATCCCAGCACTTTAGGTGACTTCCTACTGAGCAGCCTTCAGCCCTGAGGATGGACAGCAATAGGAGACCTTGGCATCCCACTGCTCCCTTATGCAGCTTCCTCCACCAGCAAAGCTTTTCCCATGTCCCTGCTCCTTACTGGAATCAAGGGACACCTGGTCAGCCAAGACCACGACCACAGCATCTCAATTCCAGGGAGCCTGGGATGTGTGGGAAATGGTGCCTTCAGGAGCAAGGGCTAGAAGACAGCCCAGGAGTGCCTCATGCACACTGCAGAGGGTTCTCCAAGGGGGGCAGCTGGAGCAAGAGCCTCAAGAAGGCCTGCTCTACCCACCAGCATCGGGGGGCTCTGTGTGCTGAAAAGCCCAGCTGGTTCCTGTTTGGCACCTACAAGAAACCATGAATCCAGCTCTTGGGATGAAGGTAGGGCCTGGAAAACCATCTGGATGGGCCCCTGGATAGACAGTGGGCACAGGCAGGCAGGGGAAGATGGGTGACCTGCATCACCACACACTCTCAGCATCCAGTTTATCAGCATGTCATCTACTGTCATCTCAAAAAACACCCCTGCCAGCCAATGACAGCAAGTGTCCACTTCCTAATGCACAGTATATAAACTGCAGAGACACACATCAAACCCAGGGGGTCTGACTGGATATTCAAAGACTGCCCAGGGTGACCTCATACTGGTAAGCCCCCAGGAACTACTCTATAGGGAACTTGACAGTGGCTTCCCTGAACCCGTTAGGTTAAAATGCAAAGTTGGCTTTAAAAACAAATAGAAGGCGTGGATGACAAGATTCTAGATAATGGTCCTGCCTAGGACCCGAGGCCCCCTTTGCAACACAAGTGGTCAGCTCAACTTGGTGCTGTTTTTCTCTTATGAGCTTGGATTTCCAGAAGTAGAACTCCTGCTGGCTTCCTTCAAAAATGCACACCCTCCTTTAAAAATGCACACCCTCCTTCAAAAATGCACACTGTCTTGCGACACGTGTCAGGCGTAGCTCCCACTACCGGAAGAAGTGACCTACTCTTTGGCTGAGAGAGCTTAGGCCATGGTCCTCACACTCCACTATGGGCCAGAAAGAAATTATTGCTCATTTTTAGGTGGGATAATAATATTATGGTTTTGTCTTTAAAAAGGCTCCCTTATGTTTTAGATTGGGGGACCTGTCTATGGATGAAATAATTTAATGTCTGGGATTTGATTCAAAATAATACTGGGGACAGTGAGTAGGAGTAGAGATGCAACAAGATTGGCCATCTATGGGTAACTGTTGAAGCCGGGCTGTGGGTGTATAGGGTTCATTTTACTATCCTGTCTACTTTTGTATATGTTTAAAGTTTTCTATAATAAAAGCAGAATGAGGAGGAGGAAGAAACACACAGCAACGTGAAAACACAGCTCTTCAGGTTCTGGCACAGGAGTGCGAATGAAGGCTGAGGGCCCGTGAATCTGCTTTTCTCAGGCTCACTGCAGGCCAGTGAGAAACCTCAGCTTCAGGGTCCCAAAGCCTGCAGAGGCCAAGAGTCTGAGGCCAGAGGTCTGCTGGAGCAGCCCCTGAAAGGGTCCCTGTCTATAGTCAGCCATCATTTAGGCTGCAGTGGGCTCATCAGTGCCAGGAATATGAATGGCCTCACAGTCTATTTATTCTTGCCCAGCATCACTGTCAAGATCACAGTAAGCAGTGTGTCAGGATCTATGCATGGAGCTGGCTGAATCTTTATTAAAATCTTTTTTTTTTTTTTTTTTTTTTTTTTTTTTGCCCACAGTGTTCCCAATTTGTTTCTTTGTTCCTGGTATCTGGAGTCATGCAGTTTCTGATATTTGTCTTGGAGATGGAGGAAGTTTGACAAGTCATGGTGGTGGAAAGGTAGTATTTATATCCTGAAAAACCTTTTCCATCCAGCGAGAAATACCACCCCATAGTCCAGGCTGCTGTGTCCGAGCCGCCTCCAAGGCTCTTTATTTTGGAGGCCCTGGTGAGGTTCTCAGCATGGCTGGCAGGTGCTGTGGCCCAGAACGTAAGTGAAAGTCCAATCTGACTCACGTTTATCACCTAGAGCGGGTGTTCTACATGTATGTGTTCTTAGGACCCCAGGGCCGGAAGAGGTGACCCAGGGCCTCAGGCGCCACACACCTCCTACAACCCTTTGGCCAAAGCATCTGTCTCCTTACACGCTTTACTCACTAGGGGTCTAGGGATGGCCTTTTTTTTTTTTTTTTAAGGTTTCTGCTTCTTAAAAAACAAAACAAAACAAAAGATATTGGGAGGCCAAGACAGACAAATCTCTTGAGGCCAGGAGTTTGAAATCAACCTGGGAAACATGACAAAACCCCATCGCTACTAAAAATACAAAAATTAGCCAGGGATGGTGGTGTGCACACCTGTAGTCCCAGCTACTCCAGAGACTGAGGTGGGAGAACCCTTGAGCCTGGAAGGTGGAGGCTTCAGTGAGCTGAGATCATGCCACTGCATTCCAGCCTGGATGATAGATCAAGACCCTGTCTCAAAAACAAACCCAAATTTTTTAAAGTTTGAAAAGCACTAATTTTGATATATGGGGAAGAAATGAAAATGTGGCAAGAGAGTATGTAGAACTAGAACCAGTGGGAATGTAAAATGGTACCACCACATAAAAGAGCTTAAAAATTCAATAGATGCCTACCCTTTGATCCAGCCATTCCACTCCTAGATATTTGTCAGGATAAATGAAGGCATGTGTTCATATAATGAGTTATACACAAATGTTCATAGCAACTTTATTTGTAAAATCCCCAAACTGGACCCAAACAACCCAAATGTCCACAGATGAACTGATAGATAGTGGCATATTCATGACAGGGAGCACGATTCAGCAGTGAAACAGAACAAACTGTTGATATACACAACAACAGATGAATCTCAAAGTCATTCTCTTGAGTGAAAGAAGGCAGACAAAAAAATACAAACCATACAACTCCATCAACATATGATTTTAGAAAATACACATTCAACTGTCGTGACAGGAAGCTGATCTGTTTTGGAGTTTGTCGGGGAAAGGGAGGTAGAGATGACAAAGGGGCGTGGGCACCACTCAGGGGTGAAGAACATGTTCACTCTCTCGATTGTGGGGCGGCTTTACAGGTGTATACATATCTCACAATTCATCCAATTGCACACCTTAAATCAATTATACCTCAACACATTTGTGGGAAAAAATTTAGTAGGAAAAATAGCTTTAATAAAATGTGGTCAGGAAAAGAAAAACCCTCTCCAGGGCTGAGACAGAAATTCATTCCAAACCAGGTTTTTCCAGCAATCTATGTCTCCTGAGCCCCACAATGTGAATGGCACCCTGCTAGGTGCTGGAAGAGGCACAAAGCTAATGGTTTAATTGGGAAGATAAGATCTTGACACATCGGCCGGGCGCGGTGGCTCAAGCCTGTAATCCCAGCACTTTGGGAGGCCGAGACGGGTGGATCACGAGGTCAGGAGATCGAGACCATCCTGGCTAACACAGTGAAACCCCGTCTCTACTAAAAAATACAAAAAAAAACTAGCCGGGCGAGGTGGCGGGCGCCTGTAGTCCCAGCTACTCGGGAGGCTGAGGCAGGAGAATGGCCTGAACCCGGGAGGCGGAGCTTGCAGTGAGCTGAGATCCGGCCACTGCACTCCAGCAAGGGGGACAGAGTGAGACTCCGTCTCAAAAAAAAAAAAAAAAAAAAAAAGATCTTGACACATCAACCGCCACAGGGCGACGTGACAGGTGTCTCATGTATATCAGCGAGAGCTGCAGGTGTTATGACTTGAGATGATCAAAGAAGGCTCCTTGGGAGAAGCAACATTTGAGTTATGTCTTGAATATATAGAGTTTTGAAAGATGAAGATGGAGAAAGCCGTGTTCCAGGCGGAGAGACCAGCATGAAGAGATGTACAGATGGAGAAAAGCCACTGTTTAAAAAAAAAAAAAAAAAAAAGGTAAATTCAGCAGCAGTGTTTTTCATCGAGAGGAATAATGGGAGGACATTATGGAGGCTGGATGATGGAAGTCCTTGAGTGCCAGATGACAGAGCCTGGATTTATAAGGCAGCCATGGAGGGCAGAGGAGAAACATGGCTCATTCATTAATGAAGCCTTTACTGCGAACCTGCCATGTGTCACGTCCAATGTGGGGGGCCTTGGGATACAAAGATGACCCCTGCCAGCAGAGCATGCATCTGGTGAGAGATCTTGATACGTAAACACATAAACAAAACCAGATGGTGTTGGTACCTCAAGCAGAGCCTCCAAGGGCACGTATTATCCAAGATTCTTTTACTTGAAGTGATAGACATTGAACTCCAATTGGCTTAAGTAAAAAGGAAAATTTACTGGCTCACATACATGAAAGTTCCTGGGGGCATCAGGTACAGTTGGATCCAGGAATTCCATCCATGTCATCAGCACTGCTCCTTGTCTCTCAGCCTTGCTTTCCTCTAGGTTGGAACCATCTCAGGTCAGCTTTCTTTAAGGGGTAGCCTGAGGATCTCAGCAGTTTATGCTATGCTTAAACCCAAACAAAAGATCTCTTTCCCAATAGTCTCAACTGAAGTCCTGGAACTGAGTCTCATCATCTCTTAATTTCCCTAGCTTAGTCACATGCCCTTTCATGAAACAATCCCTGTGGCAAGAGCGATATCATGCTCTGATTGGTCATCAGTGACATGCCTGGAGTGGGGGTCAAGTCTGCCGCATGTGCTGAGACTGGGGAGAAGTTTTCTATAGTAGACAGCATTGGCTGCATAACCCCACACCCTCGAGCTCCTTTTCTCTTTATCTCCATTTTGGAGGCTAGAAAAATGAAATGCTAGCCTTCCTCATCTCCTTTGCAGCTAGAGAGAATCTTAACACAGCTCTAGCTAATGAGATATAAATGGAAGTATGCTGGGGGCAACTGGAAAAACTTTGGCTTTTCTCATTAAAAAAAAAAAAGAACAAATGCAAATTGTGCTTCCTTCTTCCATTCCTTCATCCTGCTTTGAGTGCTGATGTGATGCCTGGAGCTGCGAGCATGAGGATAGAAAGGCTGAATCAAAGCAGGCAACCACCTATCTTCAGACTTAGTGCTATGTGAATGAAATAAATCCTTATGTTGCAGCCACTCTGCGTCAGCTTTCTTATTTGCAGCTGAATGCATTCCTAACTTATCCATCCCCATATGAAAGTCTGGGTGCTGTCATCTGAGGAATGAGGAACTGGGGCTGGAGAGACAAAAACAATTTCAGGGAGGGTGCAGAAGAGGGCAAAGCCAGAGGAGGCTGCAGGCAGGTAGGAAGACGCAACTGTCTCTAGAAAAGAGGGACACATTCAAGAGAACCTGAGAAAGAAGAATTGTTAGGTAGAGGGAAAAAGCTAGGAAGGAGGTAATGACAAGGAAGGTTTGAGTCTGGACACCTAAACCATCCTCAGAATCCCTGGTCATGCAATAGAAGCATGAGCCATGAGCCGTTCCTAGGGCTGTAGATACACACAGAGACAGGATGACTTAGACCCAGCTCTTGTGCAACCAGGTGGGCATCACCTTCTCCCAATCTTCACATGGGCAACCGCCCAGGCCAGAGGTGGGGGAATCCCGATGAGTGCTGTTGACATCTTCATGATGAGGAAGAGAACTATCACAGGACAAGTCCTGCCATGAAATAACTTGCTTCCTCAGTTGTAAATCATAAGCTGTAAGGTAGCTCGTAATAAGAGCATTTATAGGCTGGGTGTGGCGGCTCATGCCTGTAATCCCAACACTTTGGGAGGCCAAGGCAGATGGATCATCTGAGATCAGCAGTTTGAGACCAGTCTGGCCAACATGGTGAAACCCTATCTCTACTAAAAATACAAAAATTAGCCATGCTTGGTGGCAGGCACCTGTAATCCCAGTTACTTGGGAGGCTGAGGCAGGAGAATCACTTGAACCCAGGAAGAGGAGGTTGCAGTGAGCCAAGACTGCACCATCACACTTCAGCCTGGGGGACAAGAGCAAGACTTCGTCTCAAAAAAAAAAAAAAGCATTTATAATAAACATAATAATGAGCATAATGATTGGCTTTTACTGAGCCTTCACCTGGTTCCAAAAACTTGTTAGGCATTCTACAGATACCACCTGATTAAAAACCACAACAACCCTATAAAATAGTATCATTCCCATTGACAGATGAGGAAACTAAGGCTCAGAGAGATTAAGTAACTGGCCCTTTTTATACAGCTGGTAAGTGGCAGTTGGAGGACAGCACACACTCTTTTAGTTATTGGCATCACACGAGAGAAGTTGCTTCACTGCTGCCTTTGATGTAGTCGAAGAGATTAATCAAATTCTCTAGGTCAAGTTCCCCATTTTGGCTTGCTGTTTCATAAAAGCACAGGCCTGGTTATCCTTCCATCAGCACCTTCCTGAAGAAGCATCGCTCCTCCCCTTTATACTTGTCACCACGTCCCTGGCAAGGCCACCTAGGTGGAGAATGGGAATTTGATAGATTTGTTAAAACGTTGCTGGGAAACAGGGAAGCTGTCCATCGAGCCTGGGCTTCCTCCATCTATGAAGTCCAATATGCATGGTCATTGCCACTCTTATCATAATAGTTAATACCCCTTGAGTGTTTTCTCTTTTTAAAAATGTATTAATTAACCTTCACACAATTCCTTGAGATTGATGCTATTATTATCTCATCTTACAAATGAGAACTAAGGCCTGGAGAGCTTAAATAACCTGCCAAAGATCACACAGCAAAGACAAAAGTTCTCAGGTAGAAGGGTCTCCTGCTCTAGTTACACACAGATCCTGTGTAGGCCTGGGCTAGTGTGTGTGTTTATGTCTTTGTTTTTTACAAAAAATTTTAAGCCAGACATGGATTACACCTGTAATCCAAGGCTTTGGGAAGCCAAGGCAGGAGGACTACTTATGCCCAGGAGTTGGAGACCAGCCTGGGTAACATAGTGAGAGACCTTATCTCTACAAAAAATTTAAAAAATTAGCCAGGTGTGGTTGCGCACGACTGTGGTCCCAGCTACTTGGGAGGTTGAGACAGGAAGATTGCTAGAAAAAAAAATTTATTTTAAAGAACCAACCAAGGAAAAGTACATATGCAACGAAGCAAATGATGGCCCTCCAAAGAAATGAAAGGGGCACTCTCTAAATCTGGCCAGCATTTCCTTCCTTGAATGGAAATAGTGGTAGAGGGGATAGAAATCATACAGCTTTTCATTGAATTTAGGAGAGAAAACACTTGGTAAAAATAATGGTATGAAAAGTAACCACTAGGACCCAAGCACCCCAGTACACCTACATGAAATAAATCATAGCTCACAGCTACACGAGATTTGCAAGGTACTACAGAATGGGATGTGTTGGTAGCTTTGACCTGTGTTTGGTCAAGTGTTTCATGGCATGTCATGTGTCATCTTCCCTGTGAGGATGGTGTGTGGGGATGTAGGAAATACAGTCAGAGCAGTGGCCAGCCTGTGAGTCCCCAGATGTCCATCCAGTTCCAGCAGAGCACAGCTCTTCCTTAGGGAGAGAGGTCCAAGCCTGCAGCAAGCTCACAAAATGCAAAGAAGGCACTTGATTAGAGTTTGACTTAGAAATGTCCCCAATCTAAAAGTCCTTGTCCCCTTTGGGGACAGCCATGTCTCCCATCACACAATGAATGCCAGAAAGCAGCTCTGGAATTCTCCTCCACATTCTTCTTTTCATGAAGACTGGAACTAGCTAGGCCAGATTATCAAGAGCTCCCAGCAGATGAAGCTCAGGGCTTGCTCAGACCTGGATGGGGCAAACGCGCCCACTGTACTGCAGTCACTGTCCTCCAGGCTGCCAGTAAGCCCCATACTCGGATCACCATGCAGAAGTTATGTGAGGCCCAACCCACTTGAATGAGTCTTGAAAAATAACCGTCAGCATTGTGGAGAAGATGTGATGAAAGATACTAATTAAAGGTGGGCGGGGGGGAGGTAATACTCTCCCAATCCGTCTCAGGAGCCCAGAGCAGAGAAGGTAGAGAATATCCTTTCAGAGAGGGGAGCTGGGGCAGACCCATGGGCCCCAGTCCCCCAACCCCTGACCACACAGCCCCAGTGTGTTGACTTACTAAACAGCTAACTGCAAGCACAGCTGTGGAGCTTCAGAAGAGCCACACGGGGCTGGTGACACGCATGCTCAGTCCCTACCTGAGTGAAGTCAGGGGGCCACATACAGCCACTGCCTTACTTGCTGGGGTTGTGCCCAGGCTCTAATCTTTCCAGGTCTATGAGGAACCAAACTCTGAAATGGACATGGTTGGTCTGACTGGAAAGAAACGGGAAAATGAAGTCCACTTCCAGGTCTAGCTTAGCTGCCCAAGCATCCCGGGGTCCAGGAGCCCCATTAATGGTTCTAGGACTTTGTTGTAGAAACGGAAAAGCCCCCTAAAGAAAACACTGTCCTGAGGAAGAAAATACCAAAAATACCATCATCCCCTTCTGCCCCATATTCCTAAGAAGCCTCCCAAATTGAAGCCAATAGGCATTTGGCTAACACCACCTGATGCCATTGGCCAGGCCCCTCCCGGCTCAGGGTCAAGGAGTCCAGGAAGGGAGGATGGCTGTCTCTGATCTCCCTCACCCCCACCACTTAGCCATGAGACCATAGAGCTCCAATATATGCCCATAAACACACAAACCCCTAGCATCTAGGAAGGGAAATTCTGTCTCTTGCTTCTAACCGAGTTACTCCACTTTCTGACCTTAAAAAAGAACAGCAGGTTTCCTTCAAAGGATTCGGACCTCATTAGCCACAGTGGGAAATGATGCTTTAATGGGCCTGTGATGGTCTCAGCTTCAGGTGTCTGTGTTGCAACCATATTACTTAGCAACACTGTAGCCATTTAGGTTTAATTTCCTAGCTTGCCTGATAAGGAGGCTGCAAGTGTAATTGTGATGCTGCAAGCTGGGCAAACTCACAGGGCTATTAGATGAGTCACTGGGTGATCCAGGCCGCTGGTCCCAGCTCTGCAGAAGAGAAATTAACTCTGATTCGTGGGGCTGATCGCAATTTTCTAAGTGTCTGTGAGCTGTGCTTCCATCTCTCCTGCTTTCTGGTTTGGTGCCATTATTGATTAAGGGAAACTTCACTCACCTCTCAACCCCTGTTAGTATCATCTTCCAGCTTTCTAAAATTCTCACGCAAACTCAAAGCCTGGCAAGGTAATAATAACAACAATATCAATAATAACAGCAATAACAATAATAGCTCACATTTCTGAATGCTATTTGAGTGCTACTCATAAGTTATCTCTGTTAATTTTCCTTACAGCCCCAGGAGGTAGGAACTACTCTTACTCCTATTTTCAAATGAGGAAATCAGGGCACAGACAGGATAGCAGTTGGCTGTAAGACAATGAGAGAGTAGGGGACTGAGCACGGCACACTTTACCGAAGAGCCGCACTGTTATTCATCACCACCCAGCACTGCCATATCTTTCACTTTTCCAAAAGATGCCGTAAATCCAGATTTTGATATAAACTCCCTAGAGTTTTAAACATCAACAACTAATTTCATTGTTTAATAAATATTGTGAGAACCAAACCAAACAGATTGGCCAGCCAGATTTGGCTCCTGAGCCACCAGTTTGCAAGCTCCACTTCATTCAAACAAGTAAGCATGTTCATCAATAAATACTCTCCAATTGTATAGCTTGGCTTCTGTGAGTTGCTGGTGGCCCAGCCCTTTGTTCCTCCCTCCCTCCAGCTGCATTCCCCCCAGAGCCTCCGTGAGAGCTCTATTCTTCCAGTTGCTCAGGCTAAAAATCTTAGGGTCATCTATGGCTCCTTTCTATCTCTCACACTTCAAATAATCTGTCAACAGATCCTGTCTGCTCTACTTTTAAAATTTATTCACAAGCCCTCCACTTTTCATACCCCTACCACGACCACTCTGGTTCAAGCCACCAGCATCTCTTGCCTGGATATCATGAGCCGCCAGCTGACGTCACTTTCTCCCTTACCGTGTTCTCACCAGAGGAACTGGGGTATCTGTGTAAAACCTAAGTCAGATCCTGCGCTTCTCTGCTCAGCCCCTCCAACGGTTCCCATCTCACTCAGTGAAAGTCAGCATCCTAAATGACCCACAAAACCCTT